ACACACACACACAACCAAAAAGATCCTATTTTCAGAGATAATCTAGATGATTAGGACTCTTCACAAGAAGAGTTATTACCTCAACTGACAAAATGCCTAATTCATCCAACTTGTTTTGTTGGAATAAATGTTTATGATTTGTGTATTTTTTATGTAGGCATACATATATTAAAATGTATCTTGAAGTTTATATGTAAAGACAATGAAGATGGGATTTATAAAGATACTGAAAACAAAAGGCAATAATAATAAAATTGACTTACAACAAAGTTGTCAGGACAGATCATAAATCAGAGACTACTTGTGTATATGAGATTTTTAAAAAATCTACTAAGATACCCCAATACATGCATATAGTAAGGTTGCAGGATATAAGATCAATATATTAAAAAATGTGTTTCAATAAACTTCCAAATATTTATAAATAAAATTAAGAAAATAATTACATTTCTAGAGAGTGGGAAGAAGGGAAATGTGTAACAATGAATAAATGGAAATCTAAGTTCTCTATAAACTTTCATTAAAATCTCAATTAAAATAAAATTTTAAAGAAAAAAGAATTACATTTCTATTAAAAAGATAGCTAAAAACAAATTTAACAAAATAAGTGTAAAACCTATTCTTTGAAATCTGAAAACATGATTAAAAAAAATGAAAGAAGACCTGAATAAGTGGAATCATTTCCTATATTTATAAGTTGAAAGACTTCCTTTTACTAAAATGTTAATAAGTCTCCCAAATTCATCTACACATTCAATGCAATCACTTCTTTGTGGTTTCTGACAATTTCTGCAGGAATTAACAATTTTATCTTAAAATTGATGTAAAGTTTCAAAGCTGCAAGATACCCGAAATAATCTTGAAAAATAAGGGAGGATGCACATTTCTTGACTACAAACCCATAGAAATCAAGACAATATGTCATTGGCATTAAAAGAGGACTGCAGATTACTGGGATATAACCCAAAGTCTAAAAATAAGCCCACAATTTTTCACCAATTGATTTTCAACAAAAAATTCTAAGGCAATTCAATGTGGAAAGAACAGTCTCTTCAACAAATGGTACTGGGAAATGGAATATCCATATGGAAAAGAACAAAATTAGACCTGTATGTCACACTGCATTAAATATGAATTCAAAACATATTTAAAAACCTAAACAAAAGATTAAAGCTATAAAAATGTCAGAAGAAAATATAGCTATAACATAGACTTGACCTTGCTTCAGATATGATACAGAAAGCACTAGTAACCAAGTAAACAATGAAGCATGTACTGAAAATGAAAAATGTTCATTCTTCAAAGGATTGCATCAAAGTAAGGAGACTGTACCCAGAACAGGAGAAAATATTTGTAAATCATACATCTGACAAGAGATATAAAGCTAAAATATATAAAGAACTCTTGTAGCTTAATAGTTAAAAGACAGAGCAATTAAAAAAATAAGGAAAAGTATATTAATTAGCATTTCTCAAACTAAGATATACAAGACGGCCAATAAACATATAAAAAGAAACTCAATTTTGTTAGTCATGGTCTATTAGCCATCAGGGAAATGGAAACAAAATGAGATATCCTGTAGGATGGCTAGTATTAAAAAGTTAATAACCAATGACATGAAGCTAATGGAAACTTTATGCTGCTGAACAGAGAGTGAAATAGTGCAGTCAGTCACTTGAGAAAACAATTTGGCAGTTCTCTCCAGAAAGCTAAACATGGAGTTATCATATGGCCCAATGATTCCATAATGAAGATATACTTGATAGAAGTGAAAATATATGTCCACCAAACACTTGTGTGCCAATGTTAACAGCAATGCTATTTATAATGAACAGAAAAGGGCAACAATTCAAATATTTAGCAACTTAGGAATAGGTAAACAATATTTGGGATATCCATACAATGGAATATTATTTGATAAATGAGAGGAGAAAGAAATAGTATTAAAACATGAATAGCCCTTGGAAATATGCTACGTAGAAAAAAGCCAATTACAAAAAATCACATGTATGATTCTATTTATACAAAGGCCCTGCATAAGCAAATAAAGAGAGGCAGAAAGTAGATGAGTAGTCTTCTGAGGCTGAAAAGGTTTTGGAGAAGTGGGGTGTGACCTGCTAAAGCGTGCAAAGTTTCGCCTTGATATTATAAAACATATTCTAAAATATACTATGGTGATGTTCATCCATTTCTATGCATGTTGTTGTTATGTGCCATCGAGTCTCTTGTGATTCATTGTTGTTGTTAATTCCCAGCGAGTTTTAGATGACTCATAATGACCCTATGAACGAAAGACCTGAACACTTGCATAAGTGTGTATGTGTCCCATAGCAACCTTATATACAACAACTTTGAACTCTGCCCTATCCTGACCCAGTCTCACTGACTCTGACACATGTACTTCCATTATCCCAGTAATTGTACTACATTATATATACACATTAGGGAGCTCTGATGGCTTAGTAAGAAATTGTGCTACAAACCCAAAGACATGTAGTTCAAATCCACCTACAAACATTGAATTGACCCTTGAAAAGGGTAGAATATATGGCATGTGAATTAGTATCATAACAAAGCTGGTTTTAAAAATATATGAAAGGAAGCAGAGGCAAAAAGCAGAAAGCAATGGAAGGAGAATGTAGAAGGTGAAAGGAGAGGGCTCTTTAAATTCGATTCCATTTCAAAGAGGAATCCAAGCAGAGAATTTGAGAGACGTAGAAAATAGAGGTGTTACATTTTGTGTGACTAATACAAGCTTTACTTTTTTCAAGGCCTTAGTTTCTTCATTAGTAAAATGATGAGTTAAATAATTAGTAAAAAATAGCATCTTCCACAATGTTAGAATTATCACATATGTCTGTTTTTCTGACATCTCTATTTATCTCCAAGGGACTATATACATATTTGGATCAGTCAGTTATCATTATAAAATGGATTAGAAATACAAATCCTGCTCAGTAGCCTGCCAGAACTTTCTTAAACTCGTTCCCATTTTCATGATTGAATTGTGTATCCCCCAAAATACATGCAAGTATATAATGTGAAAACTATGTAATGATTCTCTATGCTCTGATAAACCCATTGTAGGATTAAGGATGGAATTATAGTAGCAGCTTATATGTTAAGCATTAAAAAAGGCATTTTAAATGTTGTTGTTATCGATTGCCTTTGAGTCGAGCACAACTCATAGCGACCCTATGAACAAAAGGCCTGAAGCCCCTCTAAAAGGATCGACATTCATCAAAGTTCATAGAGTTTCCAGAGGCATGTTATTTAGGAAAAAACGACTCTATTCTGAAAGCCATTTTATTAAATGTATGGCTCAATAATTTTGACACTAACATGTTTTACTAAACTTTATGTTCTAGTACAAATTGACCCAGCTTGGTTTCCACTTCAAGGCCCCTGGCAGAGGCACCTGGCCCAGGGCTTGGACACCCATAAGATGTCATATAGAGACTTATCTAGGGAGAACAATGACTCCCCAAAGTGAAGAAATATCAATTGCCAACCACAACAAACTTTGTGTAACCCCATGCCCAATCTCTGTATATAAACATAAATTCAGAGTTGAAACAGGTTTGAACATTAGCTGACATTTTCATTGCATGCAATAAAGTTTTGTTGGTCCCTAAATTTTGGCTGAGTGTTTAGAATCTCACATTTTCCTCCATAACAGAATGAGGCCCTTTCTAAGAAAATGGCACCAAAAGGAAGAAGGAAGCCCCTGCTCCTCCCAAAAGTGAAGCCAAAGCAAAGGCATTAAAGGCCAAGAAGGGAGTCCTGAAGGGAATCCACAGCCAAAAAAAAAAAAAATCTGTACATTTCTCAGTTTTTGGTGGCCTAAAGTGCTGAGACTCCCAAAGCAGCCCAAATATCCCCGGGAGAGCACTCCCAGGAGAAACAAGCTTGACCAGTATGCCATCAAGTTTCCCCCGACCACTGAGTCAGCCACGAAGAAGATAGAAGATTTATATCCACTTTGGGTGTCAAGGCAAATAAGCACCTGATCAAATAAACTGTGAAGAAGCTCTGACATTGATGTGGCCAAAGTCAGCGCCTGGATTAGGCCTGATGGAGAGAAGAAGGCCTATGTTTGACTTGCTCCTGACTATGATGTTTTGGATGTTGCCAATAGAATTGGGATCATCTAAACTGAGTTCAGTTGGCTAATTCTAAACATACATTTTTCTCACAAAAAAGAGGAAACACTCCTTAATTATGTAGTTGTTGTGTTGTGTACCCTAGAATTCGAACCGACCCATAGCTGACCCTCTCTTGAGTTTTCAGTGGCCGTTCATTGCATGGGAATAGATTGCCCATCCTTAATCAGAATATATCCTTAATCCAATATAAGGGAAGTTTCCCTACTGTGTGGCCTTTAAAAGCTTTTATCTCATTAAAGATAAAAGGGGAAGAAATTAAGCTGGGATGGAGTTAGAGGGAGATTCTAAATATCATTCAGGAAGAATTAATTGCCAGGAATAGAGTGTACCTTTTTGGGTATTGGCCTTTGTGCAAGTAAGTCCCATGATACCAGGAAAGGTCAAGAAACATGGAGATTTCCGGGGAATGTATGACCTACAGATGCAGAAGAAAACAAAGGTTTCCTCCAGAATTGCAGAGAGAAAGAGCCTTCCACTACAGCTGCCAGCTGCACACATGGCTCAAATCCACGACCTGCTCTGATGGAGAAGGATATGCAGTCTCCTCCAGGGCAATTTATTGCCTCTGAAAACCTACTGGAGGGTCAGCTATGAGTCAGTTCTGATTCGGTGTTACACAACAATCGCACCCTAAATGAACAGATCTCTATTGTTAAAGTCATATACTTTTGGTATCTCTGTTGTAGCAGCATTAGATAACTAAGACACACATCAACTTCTTCCTGCCTTCTCTAAACTCCTTTCAAATCTCTGACACTGATTACTCATTAAATTGAAAGTCACTTGAGTTGACACATTGAACTCTGGCCCAGCCCACCTGGAATTTCTTGTGTCTAAGATGGTGCGATTAAGGGGCAACTGGTTACTGAGGTAAACGTTGTAACCAAACTTCTCAAAGAGATCCTGGGCCATTCTCTGCTGGTCCTCAGAAAGATCTTCACCCCACTTCCTGAAAAGTTCTGAGTTTGGGAAGAGTTTTCTGTGTAATTTCTGCTTTGTCTTACATTCCATGGATTTCAACATCTGCTTTAGTGTGTTGTTAGTATTTTCTAGTTGATTTTTAGCCAGTTCCACTGTATCCTCTGCAAATGAAAGGGGGGGAAAACCATTTTAGTAAATTCTCAGTCACCCGGGCCTCGCTATCCAGTCTAATTTCCTTCAAATATTATTCTCTTCAAATTCTAAGATGTAAAATTCTTGTCCCAAAACTGGAGTCAGTAAATGGTGCAAATGGTTAAGCACTTAACTACCCCAAAGACTGGCAGTTAGAATCTACCCACAGGCACCTCGTAAGAAAGGCCTGGTGATATACTTATGAAAAATCAGCTATTGAAAATCCTGGGTGCTCAGGTCTACTCTGAAAACACATAGGAGGAGCACTATGAACAGACATTGACTCTATGGGCAACTCAAGAAATCAATCCCAAATCAAACTGAGGTCCCTTGGTTTTGTCTTGTATGTTTTTTGGTGCGAAAACATGTTTTTTCAAGAAAACTTAGCAGAGAAACATAATTTCAACTTGCCAAAGCTCTCCTTTCAGTTCCATGAAAACTTATCTATCTTGAATCCCACTATTCAAGGTTCTTCAAGAAATGGCTGGCTGCATTTTGAGAAATAGATAATAATAATTAAAAAAAAACAACTAATAAACTCTTGTTTTTCAGAATGAGGCCTGAGAAGCATCACTTCTCCATATCATATAACCATCACTTTTCCAGTTCCCTCACTGGTAATCAAGGCACTCTACTTGATTGGACCCACTTCCTTCTCACTAATCCTCCTCTGAATCCACAGAAGATTCCAGTTAAACTGATGGCATTGCTCCTAGTTATGCACCAGCTTCCTGTAAGTTAAAGGGCACCGTATTTTCTGAATGATTGTGGTAAAGAGGCATGAGATCGGCAAGAGTGACGTACGGTAATGTGACTTTTCTCTGGATGGATGCAGCTTTGTGCCACAGCATACACCTTGGTGAGCAGAATATGAACAGAATTTCAGCTGCTTTGAAG